TAAAATGAGAGCCTGCTAAACGTGATTTCTACAGGTCTTCTGAAACCCTGGACCGCCTACACCTTGCTAAATATGACAAAATATGACAAAATTACACCTGTAATTCTAGCACTCTGGGAGGCCAAGGCGGGTGGGCAAGACCCTGTCTCTACTAAAAATAGAAAAATTATCTGGGCATTGTGGTGCACACCTGTAGTTCCAGGTACTCAGGAGGCTGAAGCAAGGGGATCACCTGAGCCCAAGAGTTTGAAACTGAGATATGATGCCATGGCACTCTACCCAGGGCGCAGAGTAAGACTGTCTCAAAAAAGAAAAAATTATATTTTCTTTTTTTTTGAGACAGAGTCTCACTATGTCGCCCTGGGTAGAGTACCCTGGTATAGCAGCTCACAGCAAACAGTTCAAACTCTTGGGCTTAAGCAATTCTCTTGCCTCAGCCTCACAGTAGCTGAGACTATAGGCACCTGCCACAACGCCCAGCTATTTTCTTTGTTATTATTGTCATTGTGGTTTAGGAGGCCCTGGCCAGGTTTGAACCCACCAGTCTTGGTGCATGTGGCTGGCACCCTACCACTGAGCTACAGGCACTGAGCCTAAATTTTTGATAGCTAGAATGTTGGTGTTCAAACTTGTAACTCTTCCAACTGTAAGGTATCTTTCCTAGACCCAGTGTTTTTGAAATTTACAGGCTGCCTTCTATGTGGGACATGCAATCAATTTCGTGGTCATGCCCAGTATTTTAATGAAACAGAAGAGACTCAGAATTGAAAAATACCAGTGCACATCTTACATAGTGAAGGTGATTTATCATTTCACGAAATTTGTTTCCATTACATACACATGCTTTCCAAGGGTGGTTCTTACACCCAGTGACTGGCATCATGGCATGGTCAGCATCACTAAAAACAGAGGACCAAAGCTTAGAACTTTTTGCTTTGTAGTGCTCTGCTAAAGGATGACCCACTAGCTGCATGCTTGGACACCTCCCCTTGCCACTTCCTCATGCTCAACATTCACTGTGCTACACACTGAACTCCGTGCTGAATCCTCACTGCACCATGGTGGCAACCATTGTCCTTGTTTTACAGATGAGGAAGCTGAGGCATGAGGCCCAAGTTCCACATCCTTGGAGGCATCAGAGCCTAGGCTTAAGCCTGTCAAGCCTGTTGCACTGTCCTTCAGCTCTGAGAGCTGCCCAGTCTGCACCAGCAAGAGCAGGGCCCCTGAGCACAGCCTGGATCACTCCCCCCATCCATGTCTTCTAATTGTACCTCTTCCAAGATGCCTTCTGCAACCACCCCAACTGAGGTGTCATGTTCACCACTCTCCACCCCAGGAATCTTTACCTCACCACTACCTGCCACTAGATGATAAATATATTTAGGTGTTTCTGAGCTATCTCCCCAACTAGAAGGTAAGTGCCAAGAAGATAACCTTTTATCTGTTAACTGCTATATCTCTAGCACCTAGAACGCAGAAGTGTTAAATCCCATGGCTGGCACAAAGAGAGGCCCAGGAAATACTGGATGAGCAAAGGGGCTTGGAAGAGGCTGAGTGTCAAGCAAAACTCAAGGCAAAGCACAAACCTGGACAAAGCACAAACTACTGCCATCTATTCTTGCAGGTTTCAAACCACTCTAGCCCACCCATCCTCAAAACCTAGCTAACTATAAGGAGTTGGGGGTCTTCAGAGGTGAAAAGAAGGTGAGCTCTCATGAATGGGCAAATACGTTGCTTTTAGACAGCAACCTCGATCTCAATGAGCTGGACTAGCCTTCACAGGCTCCTGTGGCCTGAGCGTTCATTCCACTTTTCTTGTAATCCTTGCATGTCTGTGGGCCCACCAGGAAAATGAAATGGTTCTAAAGCAAAATCTCTAACTTGACATGAGAACTTAGTATGTGTTGGATTTTACACAGGCTGTGTAATACAGAAAGGAGATGTGAGCCTATTTTTTGCAGGCTTACTCTGTACTGTGATGGGGATAAATCACCACACATAAAACACAAGGGTGAGAAGACAGCAGGGACTGGCACAGGGCAACGCAAGCAAAGCATGCCACCTGTTACAGGCAGAAGGCAAGAGGAGGGGATGGAGGCAGAAATAAGAAGCCCATTGAAGTATTACCCTCCCCAGCACTGTCCAGTCTCAAGGAGTGCCGGGAGACTGACCTCTTGGCCCTGGCACCTGCTGAGGGATGGAGGGGACTCAGAGCACCCTGCCCACTGGAAATAGGAAGGATTTGCATTAGTGCACACACTCTCCCTTTGCTATACTGTAGAGGAGGCACCGTTCTGGCAAAAGCAGGGCAAAGTGTGTAGGAGCTCTGTAACAGGAGGCAGACTTCCTTCCTTCCTTCCTCGGGACAGGATTAGGGTCAGGCTTTGTGCACTTGCTGGCCTAGTAAACAAGAGGTTTTGTACTCTCAGGGAGAAGACCCATGTGCCTGGTGAGGGCACCTTAACAGGAGACACTCCCCACTCCGCATCCTGATGACAGGTGACACCTCAAAAGAGCAGCTTACCAAAAAAACCTTCAACTGCTTATTGTGCATGTTATTCCCTTAGGAAATGCCCATCAGACTTGAGGAAGCTGAGACACGGCAAATAAATTCAGATGTTTTATTTTGTAAAGCACATATGCACATATTTCAAACACAGAAAATTAACCTGGGAGTGAATGCCATAACAGATCAGCTACTGACCATCATGCAGCAAGAGAAGTGAAATGGATCCACTGGCCCTCATAACCCCACAATGCCTGCAGGAGGGTTGAAAAACCAGGATGCTGAATCCCTACACACTGCCAAAGAAAATGCAACAGAAATGGCAGGTTCCTAATGATGAGAAAAACTTACAAATAGAATCAAAACTGATTCAAGTCATACAGCGAAAGGACAAAAAAAGAAAAGGAAAGAGATCAATATGATCTGAAACAACCATTTTAATAGTAAGTTGCTGACCTTTTGTTGGACCTCTAGTCCAAGGTGCCTGAGGACAAGCCAGTGCTCCTGTGCAGGGTCACTCCAGATGGCAAATGGGCCCATCTGTAACACTCTGTTAATCCTGAGGTCCACCAGCAAGCTACAGCTGAGGATCAGGCCTGGTCTCTATGTGCCCAGATGGTAACATGTCCCCTGGACTTCCTGAGATTCAGTGGAAGTCTCTCCAGGTACTAGATCTCTGTATCCACAACCCAGGGCCACCTCTCTTCCCCAGCCCTCCTTTAAACACCTGATTGACTGTGTTTCTAAAAGATCTGAGAATTACCTGCTAGGGTGAATGCTGGATTGTAAAGTGTGTGCTGTGCGTCCTGGCCTCGGGACAAGTCATGTTGTCCAGGCATTTTTGGCACTTCCTTTCCTCATGCCTAACAGTGTCCTTCTTCCCCTGGCTACAGATTCCAACTATTCCCTGTAATTAATATTAGCAACAGGCTGGATTGAACAAACCAGTGAAACTTTCTTCACTTGTCTTTTTTTGTTTTATATTACTCTGTCAGTTATAAATCCAATCCTATAACTCCACTTGAGATTTGATTAATTCAATAGCAGCTTAATCTAAAATCTGATGGTCCTAAGGATACTGAAGTTTCTAAAGGCCAAGCCAAATGGCTCTTTCTCAATCTTGTCTCATAAGGGTCTCATCTCTAAAGAGAAAACTAAATTAACAAGTTAGCCATGCATCAAGTAAGCAAACTGTATCATACAAAAAAACCCCAAAAAACAAAAAACAAAAGACTGGATAGATAGGTATGATTACTGTGCTTGAAATATATACTAAAAGGGGGGGGAAAAAAGGAATATAAACATATCAAGTTACTACAATGATTATTTTAACAATTTTCAGTAAAAGCCCACAATTATTTTCCATTCAAGCACACCTGGGATAAAATGTTCTAGGCCAATGTATTTCAGGTCGCAAGAACTAATTCTAATTTAGAACAGATTACAGACCTAGAGTTAAGAAAAAGAAGTGCTGATAGGCATGTCCAAGGTTTTAATTGCCCTTCTGCTATAACACTGCCTGGAAAAAGTCGTTAGTGACAACAGGTTAATAAGGCAAGAAGTTATTAGGAAAAATAGTAAGAATATGAATAACAAGAAAAAATTGGGGAAAATAATGCGCAACTTCTTTAAAATGAAGGATTATAAGAAAGAAGTGACAGAAGAACTAGATGATCAAAATGGTTAAGAAACATGCTTATGGGCCGGGCGGGGGTGGTGGGCGTGGTGGCTCACGCCTGTTGTCCCAGCGCTGTGGGAGGCCGAGGCGGCGGGTGGATCGCCTCAGCTCAGCCCAGTTTGAGACCAGCGGAAGACCAGCATGAGGCAAAGTGAGCCAGAGTGAGACCCCGTCTCTACAAAAAAAAAAAAAGTCAAACTTTGCGATCCCAGCTACATGGGGGGCAAGAGAATCACTACAAGAAGAAGAACTAAAAAAAAAACTTCAAACTAAGATAAAAGTGAAAGTCAGCAGAAATTGAAAGCAAAAAAAAAAAAAAAAAGAAAGAAATATGCTTATGGTTTCCCCTGATGAATGGCCAATCAGAATTGCATTCCCTCAAATTTCATAGGCATCATTTCCATAATGGTATGTATCTACTGCCATGTTCCTTCTGAAGATATGTTGGTTGCATAAAAATAAATCTAAAAAGAAAAAAACAAGAAACCCTTCATGACTATTAGACCAAAATCATCACTCTTTCTTTCTTTCTATACAGTCATCTGTATTCCAGAAATTAGAACAGCTAATTGTTACTCTAATTGAGAGCCATTTACTTAATTTTTAAGCCCTTTTGAGTGAAGAAGCTGCTTTCACTTTTATAAGAAAGGCATGGGGCAAAAGAGGACAAAGACAGAACATTTTGTGCCAACTCAAAACAAGACCAGGTTCCTCACATCCATGTGGAAAATGAAACTTAGATCTTTACCATGTAGGTGACTTTTAAATATTTTACTTTTTACTCAGGATAAAAGCACAAGTCTGTCCTAACTAGAGTAGTATTAAAATGTGACTATTTTATTTTTCTTCAAAAAGAAAAAAAAACTTAGATAGGTATGTTTCCTTGCAAGCAAAATAAAGAAAAGGGTATTATTGTTGTTACTATGATTATTAAGCCACAGACACATAAAATCCACGAAATGGATTGGTGGCTTTGAAAATGCAGTATCATATCAAAGGTGCAGACTGTTTCAAACATTCTGTACATATCGGGCTGAAACAAGAACCAAACCAAACCTCAACCCCACCAGCAATGAAACGAGCCTGTGGCCTTGGTAAAAACATCATGACCTGCTTCAATGCAGCAAGATCCATGAATTCTCTCTAGCACTATACAAAAGTATCCCTCCAGGTCCACAAGTCCACAGGTGAGGCTGAAGGGTTCTGGCTACACCCGGTGCAAAGCACGTGCATCATTGGACCAATTTCCGAATAGATTTTTATAAATATGTACAAATCAGTTACAGGCACTTGAAATGTCTTTGGCTGGAATAACCCAACATCGCAAGATAATGTATTCACAGAGTGTCCAGACCCAGGCTGGGTTCAGCAGGCAATGATTGATTATGGTTCTCAGTCTCTCTCAGAAAACAAGGAACTGTGGGATTAGGCTTCAGCCAAAGCCACCTAGAAAAGAGCAAGACAAGTGATCCAGTCAAACAGGGAAGCCCAGGTAACTTGGCCCCAATGACACCTGTGAGGGGTTCTGGCCCCTACACAAAGACTAAGGAGCCATATTGACTGCCTGCATCTATTAGGCAAGGGAGTTACTAAATTTCTATGAAAAACATCTCATATAGGAAGAAATGAATAGAAACCTACAAGTCTTCCACAAGATGCAGCTGATCTGTACAACCACTGCGCTGAGATACAGAGTTAACTGTTTTTAAACCCCAGTGACTCATGTCTGTAATCCCAGCACTTTTTTTTTCTTTGAACAGAGCCTCAAGCTATCACCCTAGGTAGAGTACTGTGGCATCATAGCTCACAGCAACCTCCAACTCCTGGGCTTAAGCGATTCTCTTGCCTCAGTCCCTCGAATAGCTGGGACTACAGGCGCTTACCACAATGCCTGGCTATTTTTTGGTTGTAGTTGTCATTGTTGTCTGGCAGGGCTGGGCTGGATTTGAACCTGCCAGCTCTGGTGTATGTGGCTTTCGCCTTAGCCGCCTGAGCTATAGGCGCCACCCTATAATCCCAGCACTTTGAGAGGCCACGGTAGGAGGATCACTTGAAGCCCAGGAGTTTGAGACCATCCTGGGCAACATAGCAAGACCCATCTCTACAAAAAAATTTTAAAAATTAGTTGGGTGGCTCAGTGCCTGTGGCTAAAGTGGCTAAGGCGTCAACCACATACACCTAAGGTGGAGGGTTTGAATCCAGCCCGGGCCCGCCAAACAACAATGATGGCTGCAACCAAAAAAATAGCC